CAGCTGATTTAAATCATGGCTGCAGAGAAACCCTCCGGAGCCGGCTGTGGGCTGTGTCAAAGTGGGTACTGATTTTGCGGAAGAATTCCTGCCCCGCCTCCCCACAATTGTCCGCATCAGAACAGGACAAGCATCTGACGCTTGAATTCGCAGAAGCTCCCCCAGGCACCGTGCTCACCGATGCGGCCACCAGCCCAGGCTGCCTGTAGCTCTTGGAAGCAGCCACGATGGAGGCGATGAGAAGGAGAAGGGTTCCGATGACGTAATGCAGGAGCTCCTGCGGGCGGAAACAAAGCACAGCGGTGGGTGGGTGGGTGGGTGTGAGAGGGTCCCTTCCTCTTGTGCCCTGCAGCACCCCTCACAGCAGCAAACCCAGAAGGAAGGAGGCCCTGAGGACAAAGAGGAAGTCACAGCTCATGTCCAGCAGGATGGCCACTAGGGACAGCTCTAATCTCGAGGTCAGTTTGTAGACAGTGCCTTTGATGCTGTGATGGTTGCGCCAGGTAAGCATGGTCAGCAGTTCGATCCTCAGGAGAGAGATGGGCTGTCTGCTGCCCTGAAGTTACTCACTAGTCGGGATTGCTTTTGTGGCAGTGGATTTGGTTTGGGGAGGGTTTACCCTCGAGCTCTGGCCAAAAACAACTAGAAAGCAAACGAGCCCCCCTGAAGCTCCAAGCTGAAGCTCGGGCTCCCAATAGCAAAGCCCCCCACAGAGCGAGGTGTGCTTTTCCCTCCTGCTTCAAACACATTCCCGTGTGCTGGCTTTGTGTGGCTGGGCGGACGGAAGGCATTCCATTCTGTGAACAGCCCCCTGGGAAGACCAAGAGGGGCCCCTCGGACTCCGAGTCAGAGGCGAGGAAGGGGTGAGCTAGGAAGTGCCCGTGGGGGTGTGGTGGGAGCCGGCTTTCTCCAGCCCCTGTCCTCCCCGGTTTGTCATGCGCTCTACTCTCCAGATGTGTGCATCAGGCCGAGCCCGGTCATCTCCGAGTCTCTGGGAGAGACCAGGTCTCTGCTTCCGCGGTTTGCCACCGACCATCTACAGCCACCGCGTCCACTCCTCGTCTTTGCAAGTCCTGGGCAGACAGATGAAGTCTGTCATTCTGCAGCACCGGGTGCTTCCCCCCCACCTCTCCTCCCTGATGAACCGATCACAGGGGGATGAGCACCCGGAGCCACCCCTCTGTAGCTGTTTACAAGAATTTAAAAACCGCAGGCAGATCGACCCCCGAGTTCTGAATGAGATCCACTGCTCAGTGTGTCTTTCAGTCGAATGTGTAGGTAAATTTGTGTTCGGCCTGACTTTAGGGCAGGGAGAGACTCAATGTCTTTTCTCGATTTGAATCTTCTCCAGAAGCAAAAGCAGAGCTCGGTGGTGAGGAGTTTACTGTGAGCAGAGGTTGGCCCGGTCATTTCATGGAGGGTAAGTCTACATAATATTGAAGGTGAGGAATGAGGTTAAGTTGGACATTTGTAAGCTCATTCCTCAGTGAAGTTCTGTCCGGCCGGTGGGCGGCAATTAACCCTTGGGGAAGCCTTCCATCGCTAAGCTGATGCTCTCCCCAGACCGTGCAAAGTCAAAACCCTGCATTTCTTCCTTAGTGACTAGAAGGGAGGGCCGTGCGGTGGACCAGAGAGATGTCTGCCAAAGAGCAGATTAGTATCTGGAAGTTCTCCAAGAAGCCCACCCATGCAGAAAGGGGCAGGACAGACAACCTGAGACAGTCTTACTATGAACCTGACCTAGATGCCACTCAACCAAAAATGAGGGGGAGACCCTTGCCTTCCAATAGTTCCTCCCCACCCAACCCACGCCTGTCTGCGCCCCCCAGCTTTTATTCCCCCCTGCTGCTCACTATCCGGATCAGAAGAGGCATCAGGAAGCCCTAAACACCACGATAAAAAGTCAAGAAAAGGTTTTCACTCCAAAAGAAACATTCTTTGAAGGTTCCCAAGGTGGGAGTGGGAGGCATGTTGGGGAAGCAGTGGGCTAGAGGGTAGACAAGCGTTAACTTGGGTGACGTGAAGCCCATATACAAGAGGAATAAAAGGAAGGCTGACCAAGGACGATGGAAGCCGGCGACACTGGGAGGTTTGGAAGAGTTAAAGGCAACAGAGGCAACTACTGCTATAGACACAATGCTACAATACTGGTGGTCTGAGAGCTGGTGCTTGATAGACATGCGGTTTGAACAAATATGGGAGGGGCAATGGGAGTATCATCACGAACATTCGACAGACAGGACTCTGAAAACGAAAGCAAAGCAAGCCTACCGCGATCAGCCAGAATCCTAGGACATGACACAGCTTAGCGTGGAAATGAATGAAATGGAGATTAGAAGAGAAAGGGAAAAATCCGTGTAACCCAAAGCTGATGCTTTGAAAAGATCACAGCGGACAAGTCTTTAGCTAGACGAACCCAGAAACAGAGACACACCTCAATTCATTGTAATAAATGAGAAGGTGGCAGGGGGGAGGGAGCACTGGGACTGATCGTGAATGCACAGCTCAGTTTAAAGGGGATATGACTGTGATGGGGGGGAAGGCTCTCACGTACATATGGTGGGGATTGTACAACTCCCTTCGATGTGATTGAACGACTGAACTGTTCAATTGTATGATCTGTGAATTATATGCCAATGAAACTGTTGGGGGGGGATGAAAGAGGGGACATCACCATTCAGCACCTTATAGAAATAACAGTGATTATAAATAAATGCTCCAAGCCACAGCATGCCAATAAATTAGATAACTTAGATGAAGTACACAAACTACGGAAAACGGACTCAAGACTAGACCTATTGCAAGTGAGGAGACAGACTAATTAATAAAAAGATTTTCCACAAAGAAAAGCTCAGGCCCAGATGGCTTCACTGCTGAATGCTACCAAATATTTAAAGGAAAATTAATACTAATTTTTCACACACTATTCCTAAAGATAGAAGAGGAGGAACAGTTCCCAATCGTGCTACAAAGCCCCAAACCAAGGTAGGATTACCCAACCAGACAGACACGCAAGGTACGAATGCTCCGGAGCACTAGCTCTTATGAATACGGAAACCGAAATCCTACACCGAACACGAGCAGACAGAATCCAGCAACATATAAGAAAATTATGCACTGTGACCAAATGGGGTTTAATCCCTGGAAGGCAAAGGTGTTTTGTCATCTGAAAATCATTTTAATATGCATGTCAATAAATTAAAAACCACACACACACAAATTACAGATGATCTCAAGGGATGCAGAAAAAATATTTGACAAAACCCAGCACCCTTACATGTAAAGAAACAAACAAAAACACTGAGCAAACTTGGAACAGAGGGCACTTCCCAGCCTGAGAGCGAGCACCTTCGAAAAATCTACATCTAGCATCAGACTGAATGAAGGCTTGAATACTTTCCCCTCTAAGACCAGGAATGAAAACTAGGGCGCCCACCTCATCATTTCCATTCAGCAACACTGTACGGGGGTTCAGATGGGATGATCAAGAAAAAGAAATCAAAGATATCCAAATCGGAAAGGAAAAAGTAAAATTATATTTGCAGGTGACATGTCCTATAGGGAGAAATCCTAAGAAATCTACCAAAAAACTATTAGAACTAATAAACAAGTTTAGGAAGATTGTAGGATATAAGATCAATATTCGAAAATCAGTTGCACTGCTATACATTAGCAATGAGCAATCAGAACATGAAACTTACACAGTTCCACTTGAAATAGCCTCAAAAGGTAAAACACATATAAATTTAACAAAAGAAGAATAAAACTTATACCCTGAAAACTATAAGATGTAGCTGAATTAAACTGGAGCAGATACATATAAGTGGGAAAATATCCCATAGCTAAGGATAAGATTTCCTACTCTTAAAGTAGCAGTGCTCCAAATTGATTGACAGAAGTCAATGCTGACTTCTTTGCATGAACGTTTAGAACAGCATCATCAATCATTGTTAAAATGCGGAAGCAACTCAAAGGTCCACCTGCTGATAACAGTCAGGCATCATTTCGTTATTTGAACTCACTGCGACCGTACGTGTGACGGGAAGCACTGACCAGCCCCGTACCATCCTCACAATGGCGGGTATGAAGATCAACACAATGTAGCACAGGCTTACGATGGAGGATCACTGGGCCATCGAAGGCAATGCATGATAGTAAAGTACAACTCAGACAAAACTTGAAAGCATTGTGCTAGTGAAATGAAAAATAGTCACACCATCACTCAGCTCCCTCCCTGAATAAAGCAAACAGAGTGCAGAAAACTGAAAGATGAATGGAAATCATTAGTCCATGGGCTAGTGAACCAGGTGAAGCTCAGCTTCCACAGCCGCCAGACCTGAACTCGATGGGGTCCGGGGACCACGACCCACAGCTCTAAAAGGAAGCTCATTAAAAAGTCCCCTCAGAGTGGAATGGGTGGAACATGCAGAACAAAACTCACAACCATGGAAAAGACCAGGCTACGGGTCAGGAGACCAATGGATCTTCTAAGACCATGGCTCATGGTGCCCCTTCAGAGCTGGATCTGCAGCCACCTCTACGGCCCAATTTTCAGCCAAACAATCGACAGGTCTATAAGGAGAACAATCAACACGGGGGCTTTGCACACCTTAGAATAAGCAAGCATCTCTGAGCAAAAGGGCAGCATGTGCCCCAGGACAAAGTTCACAGGGGTGGGGAAGAAGGCGGACTGGACACAGGGCGGAAGTGGCATCAGTGATGTCACATGGTGGGGATTACATGAGCGGGAAAACTGATTTACTTCATCCACCTTCACACGATCCACAATAAAAGTGTGTTTTTTTTTTAAGTCAGTTTCAGAAGGAAACATGTTATACAATTCTGTTTCTATGCAATGCCCGGAATAGTCCAATTTATACACATAGAAAACATGTGGGTTTATATAGAGCTGGAATAGATGACAGTTAAAAGGGTATAGAATTCCCCTTTAAAGAAAAGTCACTGTGGTGAAATATATACAGCAAAAACATGCCATCTTGATCACTGTAAAGGGTACATGAAGTGACTTTAACTATATTTACCACGACTGCAAACACTCCCCACTATCGATTTCCAAAAGGTTTTCATCAATACAAAGAGAAACTCAGGACTTCTCCATTTCCTGCCTTCCAGCCCTGGTCAGCAGGCAGTACGTGCAAACTTCAGTTTCCATACATTTGTCTACCCCAGGGATTTCGCATCTAAGTGGGATCATACAGTATCTGTCCTGTGACTGGCTTATTTTGTTGAGTTCTGTTTCCGAGGTTCATCCATGTGATCCCAAGTATCAGAACTTCATCTCTTTATGGCTGAATAACGGTACTCGGCACAGAGGGCTTCTTTTGGAGGTGATGAAAAAACTCTACACTTGATCTAGAGAAAATGTCCTACAGTGGTGCTAGATCCATGGCTGTAAATATGCCAAAAGCCACTGAACTGTGCACGCTCAGTGGGTGAACAATACGGCAGTAACCCCAAACCAAACCACTGCCATCAAGTAGATTCTGACTCAGAGTGACCTTATTTATATAGGGTTTCTGAGGCTGTAAATCTTTACGGGAGCAGACAGCCTCAACTTTCTCCCTTGGAGTGGTTAGTGGGCTTGAACATCTGACCTTGTGGTGAGCAGCGACATGCTTTCCAGAGAGTGCCACCAGGCTTCCTCAGATTTCAACAAGGCCTTGAAAAGCATGACATAGTGGGGAGGAAGGAAAAAACAAACAAACAAACAAACAAACAAACAAACCTGCCAACCTCTGATTTCTCTCCTTCATCTCAACATTTATTATGCTAATTCTCATTAACAGAATTACCCACCCTTCTTACGAGTTATTTTCTTCCATGTTCCTCTGTCCTGTCACTTGAGACAACAAAGACAGAGGCGAGAGGCTCAGCCTGTGGGGAGCTGAGAGGTGAGTCTTAGGTACCAGCAGGGTACCAAGTGCATGTGTCCATCAGATAGTGGGAAGGCTGGACTGAAGCAGCAAAGGACAGTCAGGAGGGAGGGTGGGCAGAGGCGGGACTCCATCCGGTCTGGATACCCCGGCTGACATTCTGACTTCTGCATCAGCCCCTCACAGACGGCTCAGGCCAAGGTACTCCCTTACCGACAGGGGCCAGCTGATACAAGTGAGCAGGCGGTAGACGCGGAAGAGGTGGACCAGGTAAAAGATGAGGATCATGATCAAGTCGCAAATGGTGATCACTTCAAAGTAGCTGTAGGCGCTGTAGCTGGCGTCCTTCCACCCGGAGCTCCTCACGCAGATGAAGGCAATCAGCAGAGTGACCTGAGACATAGGTATGGAGACGTCAGAGAGATCCTCCCACCGGGCCCCCCAAGGAACAGACAAAACCATGGAAGCCAACGGAGGGTCCCTCGGCCCTCCCTCTTCCCAGGCCCCAGGTAAGGAACTGCTAACATTCAAGTTATCCAGCTACTTCTTCACTTGTTGGCAGGAAGGAAAAAACCCAACAAAACCCCAGGAGAATTGTCCCCCCAGGGTGTCCAAGGCTGGCAGTCTTTTCAGAAGCAGACTTCCGTGGCTGCCTTCCACCAGGGGCTGGTGGGCTCCATCCACGGCCCTGTTCCTCGGCAGCTACGTGCTTAACCAGCGTGCCACCGGGGCTTCTTGGCAGGCCGGTGAAACCAAACCCAAGCTCACTGTCACAGAGTCATGCGTCTCATAGCGACCCCGCAGGGCAGGGTTGAACTGCGCCTGGGGGATTCAGAGACTCACTCTTGCCGGCAGGAGAGCGCCCTGTCTTTCTCCCAGGAGAGGCTGGTGGTTCTGAAAGGCAAGGCCCCCAGCACCAGGCGACCGCCGGCTCTCCCTGAAGCTTGTTCAGCTGGGCTGGGCAGGAAGCGCCCTTGGAGCGGAAGCAAGTCAGGCAGGGAAACAGGCACGCGGGTGACCGCAATTCCTGACTGGGCACCCACGAGCCAGAAGAGAGAGCAGCATGGTGCTGGGTTGGCGTTCCACATGAGGGCGACCTCTGGATGTGGCCAACAGCCGGCCGTTTCGATTTACAGACCCTGGCAATTCTTACCTTGCACCTCGGGAATCGGTAAAGCGGAAGTTATCATTTCCTCGTGCTGACGTGCAAGACCTAGGCCATCGAAGCCACACAGAACCCTAAAAGGTAGACCTATCTCCCCCAATTTCAGATGAGGACCACACACCGAGGTCCACAAACTCAGCCATGAGTCCAAGCTTGTATTCCTGTGTGCCCTCAATGGTTGCTTTTATCCTAAGTCCCCGGACAGGCCATCCTCCAGGTGGACTCAAACCTCCCACCTCTGGGGCGGTATCTGATTTGTACTTTGCAGAACATCCATACAAAATCGTAGGGTTGATTAACTTGCACAGCTAATCTAGGATGAAGGTTATTTTCTGCCTCTTCTCAAAGGCAGAAGGCACATGCATTTGATTTTTTTTTTTTGTCCTCCAGAAAACAGAGACCAAAGAAGAATCAATGCACGGAATCGCGGAGCTGGTGAAAGGACAAACAGATCTGTCTTAGAAGAAGTACGGCCAGAGGGCTCCTTCGAGGCAAGGAAGGTGATTCGTCATCTCACAGACTTTGGCCGTGTTGTCAGGAGAGCCCGGCCCCTGGAGAAGGGCACCGTGCTTGGTAAAGCAGAGGGCAGTGAAGTGGACGAAGGCCCTCGCAATGGATGGACGCAGTGGCTGCAACAACGGGCTCAGGTATAGGAACAACTGTGAGGATGGCGCAGGGCGGGGTTGTGTTTCGCTCGGCTGTGCGTAGGGTCGCTTGGCTTGGCACCGACTTGATGGCACCGAACCACAACAGCCACCTAACACAGAGAATGCACTGGGTGTGGGAGGCAGGCACTACTGACAACAACGGATGGTCCAGGCCAAGGATGCTGCTAGACACCCCGCAGGGCACCAGACAGCCCCTCACAGCAAATAATGATCCGGCCCAGGTCTCAGTAGGGCTGTGGCTGAGAAACCCTGCTGGGGAAAATGCAAGTCTACCACGAGAACCAAGGGACAAAGTGGACCCGTGTCTGGGAAAAGGGGCCAATGCTGACGACGCTCTGTTTACTAAACTAAGAAAGCGCTCCCTGCCCCTCAGTCCCTCCCAACTTCCGGTGACCCTGGAGGGCAGCGCAGCACACTCGTGGGGGGCCAAGGCTGTACATCGCCACAGGAGCAGAGAACCTCAGCTTCCTCACGGAGCAGCTGGTGGGTGGGAACTGTGGACCCTGATGTCAGATGCACTCTGGGAGAAATCACACCCGGGTTTCTCCAGAGAAGACTCTGTTTACTAGAGCCCCCCACTTCGAGCACTAAGAAGAGCCCCCGGAATCGGCACGGCCGCTGAAACAGAATGCTCAGCTTGGAGCTTCGAGGGGGCATGAGGAGTGTTTTGCTTAGCAGATCAAAACAGAAGAGTGTGGCTCTGATGCAGGGGCAGGAGGAGACCCTCCACAGCTGCCTATTTGCCTGTGCCAGTGAGCAACGTGAACATTTTCATTTCTCGGTTCCTCTCGGGCCAGCCAGCCGTGGAGAAATCATGATTCAGGCCCCGAGGTGGCTCTAAGGCTCACACAGGGGAGGTGTGCTTGGTCACTGCACCAGTGCTGGTGGGTGGGGTGGGGGTTTCCTTCACGACTTGAAAACGCAGATGACAGGGGTCAGGCAGTGAGGGTCCTCAGTGGAGCGGCAGGCACCTCTGTGGGCGCAAAGCCTGCCAGGACTCTTCCTCTATGAGAGTGATGACATTTTTATGGCGACACAGGGATTTGGCAGTTTCCCAAAGAACAGCAGGGGCCTGGGCAGGGCTTCCCCTCGGCTCCCCCAGGACCTACCACTCCGCAGCAGGAAGCACCTTATTTCTCTGCTATAAACATACCAGACCCGTCTGGGGAACCCGCCCATGAAATATGACCTCGCTAGGTCTATCCGCCTAGCCAAGGGCCACGGCACACATGCCCGTCTTAGGAAAGGCCACTTTACTCGCCTGATAATGCACGCTGCTGAGAGCTACCTTTTAGTCCAAGGTGTTGGTCATTTACTCTAAGGAGCCCTGGAAGCGCAATGGTTAAGCATCCGACTGGTAACTGAAAGGTGGGCAGTTCAGACCTACCCAGAGGCTCCACGGGAGAAAGAGCTGGCCATCCACTGCCATCAAGATGACCGAAGAACAACCAAACTCAACGCCGGCAAGTAGATGCCGACTCACAGTGACCCTCCAGGACAGGGTAGCACTGCCCCTGTGAGTTTCGGAGACTGTAACTCTTTATTGGAGTACAAATCCCCGCCTGTCTCCCGAGGAGCAGCTGGTGGTTTCGAACTGCTGACATTGTGGATCACAGGCCAACTCGTAACCACGATGCCGCTAGGAAACCCTACAGGGCACCTTTACTCTGCCACACACGGTCGATATGCGTCAGAACTGACCCGACGGCACCCAACAACAAAGCTACCTTTTGAAGAGCCAGCCAACATCTAAGCTAAAACAAAGACCACTGATTCTGGTTCACAGCAACCCTACATAGGGCTTCCAAAGCTACAAATCTTTTTTTTAAATCGTTTTATTAGGGACTCATACAACTCTTATCACAATCCATACATACATCAATTGTGTAAAGCACATTTGTACATTCATTGCCCTCATCATTCTCAAAACATTTGCTCTCCA